AGGAACAGTCAGGCAAAGCCTGAAAAGTCATTTTACCTCAAAAAAAAAATAATTGTAGGAGAACGAGTAATTTGTTAAATAGAATGATGACCTGTCACCATGGAAAGTAGCCTTTATTTTTGACTGACTACTGTGTTTTCACATATTGACTTACCTTCTGCTAGAGCCACGAATTTGATAGAAGTTGAATGTAAGTTTGGCCTGAATGTGCAAAAATAGCAGACCCTATAGTTTCCTGTACAAAGGCTTTTTTACAAGTTTTGATCTGTATATCAGGAGTTCTTGCAGTGTCTCATTTCTTCTCTATCCCTGCCTTCATGCTGTGGAAGTGGAGGAGGGGCTGGTGGTAACCTGGTAGATGCTTGGGGTGGGGGTGTGCCCCCACTCCCAAAGCTTTATCTGATAGCTACAAAGACTTTAACTGCTTGGACCTTGAGCCTCTTGAGAGGCAATTCTGTCTGTGGAAAGGTAAGATGCTGTAAAACATCTCCAGCAAGTGGAGTGCTTGCCTGGGGATTGTGGTTTCTCTGGATGGATCAAGGTAGATGGAAGGGACTGAACAAAATGGTCCGTGTAAAATAGTGGTTAAGCCTAAAATAAACTTTCTAGCTTCCCAAAGTAGTGTCATACGCTGTTGTATTGTGGGATATGTTAATAAAAATTGGAATTTCTAGTTTGAAAAGCTCAAGCTTTTAATGTGTGTTTATACCAGTATAATTAAATCTAATGATTCCTTGTGCATGCCTTCTGGTAGGAGACCATATCTGTGAAACCTTAGGTGTTCAAGGAAAAAAAATTAGGGGAAATTGCTTGCATGCTCCAGCAGTGAATGGTCCAAGTTCATGCTGCAGTTAGTCAAGTATGCTGGGGGAAGGAAGGCAGAATATTCTGTATGGCTTCTCCCTCTAGGATAGGTGGTTTGTTTCTCATCTCAAGTATATAGTGACTGTCCTCTGCAGTGGTACAGATCCTTTGACAGTTATCTCTTGTCACATGGAAAGCTAAAAGAAAACAGGGTGTCAAAGATAAATATTGTGACACACCCTTAGATATGCTCAGAGGAAAAACCATGTTGCTTGCAAGGGGGAGATCAAAGCAACGGAGAGGGCTGACTTTGGAGAAGACACTTGTCAGTGTGGGGCTGGATGGGTGGGGGGAGGCAAATCCCACACAGGAGGCTCACTAGGAAAAGGCACAGCTGCATAAGGAGTGAAGGCAAACCAAAAAAAAGCCATTTTCCTGTGGCAACAGCCAAAAGATGCATGCAGGAATAGAGCCTTTGAGGCAATGTGGGTGTGTTTGCATGTGATTAAAAAAAAAAAGACAAGAAGCTTCCGTAGGATTAGAGAAGGAATGACCAGGGATTTTTATCCTTGCTTAGCATACGTCCACTGCAGCTATAGGATAGAGGTAAGTCAGGTAGAAGTGAGCTGGGAGCTGTAAGGTTCTTCGTAGTTGTTGGGGAAAAGACAAGGACACCTAGCTAGCTTAAGCAGGGATTTTGGTAGCATACTTGTGCCAGGACATGCTGTTACTGGAGAATCACTGCCACAAACTTTTCCAGTACAGTGAGTGAGTATTTAACTGTACATTTTGGTCAGATAGGGAACTCGGAAGACAGGGTTTTTTACCTATCTGATACTTGTTACTACAGAAACATACTTTTTACATGTTTCATAAGCACACAAACTTGCAAAAACCTACAAAACTAAGAAGAGCACACACAAAGTGACTAGCTTCAGGAAAACAATTTTCTTTTTCTGTTAAATTTATTTTTTGGCACAGGATAGATCTACTGACAAATATCCTGTATTACTCAACTATGACAAAACTGTATGTTAGATTGAGATAACACTTAGATTAAAAACCTCACCACCAGCTCTTTAGGGGATCTGCTTCCACACAGCCCAGGCCAGGGGTGCTTGCACTCCCTTCCAGGGCAGAAAAAACACAGCTACCAAAACTACCCCAACAGTGTCAAAACCTATTGGCATAGCACTGGTGAGCAGCCTCTGGTGCAGTAGCTGGCCAAGCGCAGCTAGTGCCTGTGAGGCTGTGCTTAGCTCTTCCTCTGAGGCTGGCCTTGGTGCCCTAGTCTCTTGTTGTTTGGATGAAAACTTGAGGTTTCAAATTACTTTCTTTCCTTCTGCTTTAAAACTGCCTTTTTTAGGTCAGTAGTCATTGTGGGTAGGAAGAGCACAAGCTGAGAAGACAAGTCTGCCTTCCTTTAGAAACCAAGACCAAAAGTTACTTTTTTTTTTTTTGCAAGAAGGAGCTGTGGGGTTTTTTTTTAGTCCACCATGGAGAGAATTATCACTTTAATACTACAATTTTTTTTAGTGATCTGGAGCAGTTCACTGACATCAAGTATTACCACTGTTCTGTGATCCCAAAATAAGTCTCGCCTTGTTGTGATAATAACTTATTTGGTGAGATGACTGCTTTCCCAAGGAGAAAATGTGACATTTAACCCTCCCCCCCCCCACGACCCAGAGTTAAGTCTGTTTTTCAAAAGGAGCCATATGAAGTACATCAGCTCTCCCTAATGTTAACCAACCAGTTTGTTTCTGGAAGAGATTGTTAACTGAGCCTTCTGCTTTGCTGGGACTTGTAAGATTATCTACACAGTTGTAGGAAGGCTTAGAGTTTCTTCACAATCTGAATAGTCTGGGGGATCAGCTCTGAGTTTTAGTTTTACGGACTTTTGCTGTGCCCTGCTCACTTTGCAATGCTGTCCTGAGCTCCAACACTGTGGCTTGTCAAACCACAAACAGTAGGTGCAGACAGCTGGGTGTGCTCAGGCTTGTGGCTTTGCAATTCATGAGTTCCTAGCAAAACAAGCAGAGGCTGTAGGTTTCTTCTTCTAGTGCTCCAGATCTGGATGCCTATAAAAACTGAAGACTGACCCAGGAAAGTGAGTCTCAAATAGTATTACTAAATACTGGGTGACTTACCTGTAGGCTGAAAGCAGCACCTGAGGCTTTTTTCTCCCATCACTAAGCTGAGGCACTAAAATGAGATGAGATTGCAAAGCTTTTAAGTGACACTGCAGCAGTGAGGGCAGGTAGAGCAGCAACCCTACTCTCTTGTACCTTTCTTGTACCTCTTCCTTTGGGGTGCTGCTGTGGCACAATAAATTGGAATCATAATGCTGTTGTGACATACTGTGTACTTACCAAGGTTCTTCAGCATAACATAACATTATTTTGTCAGTGTAGCCCTAATGAGGAAAGTGGCAGGTATGTGCAGGCTTTGTTCTTTCTGTGTGCTTTGTGAGTAAGCCTGCACCTACGCGCCCATGACACCAACAAAGTGCCTTTTGCATAGGTCTGGAAACCTCCCTCTGGGTTTGGCTCTCTCCACAATGCATATCACTTCATCTTTTTCCCAGCTAAAACCAGGCAGCTCCTCTTCAAGGCAGGCTTGGGAGTCAGGTGCCTGCTGTACAAAAATGCTGGTTTTTCTGGCATGGCTGGCCTCTTTTCTTCATGTGTCTGCCATACAAGAAATGCTGGTTTTTGTGTCACAGTTGGCCTCTCATTTTTCTTCACTGATACCTGAGCCCTTTGGCACCCTAGTTGGTATGCTTTTTGCTGAGCAGCTACAAGGGATATACCTTCCCTTAAACCTTTGCTTAGCTCCACTCTCTTTGTCATGTGTGAACCTTCTAAGCTTTCCCTATTTTTTTTTAATAGCAAGCCTAGGAGGCTTGAGAAGCCAGCCATGGGCAGCAGAGCTGTGCCTGCTTCCGTAGCAGGGAGCAAGAGCTCTTGGGCTGCCCTTGGGGAGAGTGTGGGGCTGGGGCAGTTGGGTTTGGCTGCTTTCTGTTGGAATGCCTTCTGTATTCTCACTGAAAATTTACATTAGTAAATGTTTTCCAGTTTCTTGGTAAGTCAGGAATGTTGTTCACTTCTAGAAGGAACTTCTTATCAGAGATAAGGCTTTGGTTTTTTTTCTTTTCATGCATGCTTCGCCTAACCAAAACTCCAGACTTTCTAATCTTATTGCTCACTCTTAAGTTTAAATTTTTAATGTCTGCTGCAATGCATGGTAGTTATATGGTCTTCAAAGGAGAGAAGGAAGAGCTGGGAAACATACTCTCCAGCTTTCTAGTTTGTCCTAGTTTCTTTTTTCTGCATGCAAGATGACCCTAGGTTTTTTCTTTTTAAAGTGGGGAGGATTCAGTTTGTTCAAAGCAAACTGTTAGCATTTGCCTTACCGGAGTGCAATTCCCTCTTTCTTGCAACACTTCTGCGGTGCCTACTGCCAGATGTTTCATCCAGAAGCTAATTTATGCACACAGTGAATTACTGCAAACACAGGCACCAATGTTAGAAGGAACTTGGAGACACACAGGCAGAGATGGTAATAAAATAAAACTAAATATTACCTAAAACTTGATGGCATTGTTCCAGACCAGTGCACAACAATGTTGCTATTTCAACAGCCTGTGTTTTCCTTGTCCTGTCAGCAGGGTAGCTTACTGGATTAGTTTTATCCTGGTTTACAAGACCAAGCACTCCTAAACTCTGTACTGTGGTACACTGAACTCTTACCAGTCTGTTTAATACACTAAAACTTGTAGCTGGCCTTACAAGTTACTTCTTGTAATACACTTGTCCTTCAATGTGACGATTTAAGATCACTAAGCCATGCGATGTCATTGCAGTCACCCAGAATAAAACAGTGGGTGGAGGGGTCAGTGGAAATACTGACACTTGGCACTTTGGTAAACCTTGGGTTTTTCCAGTAAAGAACAAGAATGGCATTGTTTTTGTGTGGCGTTGTAGTTTAATGTGTAAATGTGTCTGTCAATGAGATGCCTCATGTTAGGAACTAGTTTGTTCTTGTTTTGGTATCCCCATCCTTTTATGCTGGTTCTTTGTCACCACCTCCTTAAATAACAGAGCTGTATCCTGTGTTTACTTCTGATGTTGTTACTACTGCAACGATGAATGTATTAATCGGTATTATTTAACAAGGCTTCCTTGTTTTTACAGCTTGCAGGGACAGCAGTTCTTGCAATTGGACTATGGCTTCGGTTTGACTCACAGACCAAAAGCATCTTTGAACTGGAATCCAACAACACAACATTTTACACAGGTAAGCTAGGAGATAGGTTGGGGTGCTAGGTCACACTTTTGTGCCCTGATTTCCAGACTGCTTAGAAAGCCTTGTCTTCTTCGGAGGCTAAAAACAAAACAGCCCTTAACAGACCTGGTGGGGCAGAGAGCAGCTTCCCCTGGCTGGTGCAGGGGGCCAGCCCCTGTTGTGAGCTCTTGTGCAGACTGCAGCAGTGTCATGCTGGCGGTTTCTTGGCTCTTCATGCATTGTGTATCATGCCATCTTTTTCGCAGCTTAAAACCTGCAGTTCTTCTTCGGATGCTATTGGTAAGCATTTTGTAATCCCGGGACTCCTGGTACATACAGACGTCTCTTCCTGATGCTTCTCACAATGAGTCAAAGTTTCTCTAAACTAAATGAGTAGTCACAGATGACATGAATAACTAATTTTTTTCCTCTAAAGTGACCAACCTGAGCTACCCAAAATGACAACTCTACTGCCTCTTCTCTCAAAAGGAGCATATGTACTATTGTGTAACTCTTATAGCCCCGTGTATGCTAATTTATACTAAAGATAATGGAAAGGATGCACAAATATCTTGGTCTATATGAGCAACTATTACAGGCAACCTAGATCAAGGTAGCTTTAGTTAGGCCAGGTGGAAGTTATCCCTTGATATATTCTGTTTTGCAAGATTACCAATTAGGGGAAAAACACTCATGTTTTCAGTTTGTTACTCTGATGTTGTAGGAGTTCCTAACTAAATTGGATTTTATCCTAACAGAAGAGATCAAGATCTTAGTTACTTTTAGGCTTGGGCAGAGGAACATGCGTGTCTTTGGTTGTTGTCAGCTGCAGGTGCTAAAATTATGGAATTATGGAGTTGCGCTGGTTAGAGACCATAGCTGGGAATACTGAAATGCTTGTGTGATTTCATGAAGAGGCCACAGGCACGCAGACAGCTTATCTATGAGAAAGCTTGTATTTCACCCTTGATATGCTGGCATGGTAGCAAACTGGGTTCTTGCAGCTGCCAGGGAGATTTCCAGATGCTTTTAACTGGACCTTGGAAAGGGAACAGAAATCTAAACTTAGCTATTGAGCTGAATATTTAACAAGACTTGTTTTGGGTAGTCTAAAACAACTCCTCAGCCTTCTAAAAGATAAAAGTTTTGTGATATGATACTTAAACTACTGTCTGAATGCAGCCAGTGAGACCTACCTGTAATCTCTATAGGTTAAACTGATTTTTGTAAAAAGTTTAATAGGAATTGCTGTTTTAATGTATTTTTCTGGGGTTACTGACTGCAGTTTCCAATAGGAAATTGAAAGAATCTGTCCATTTGTACCTAGTAACAAAGCAAGTTAGCACGAAATCTTTCTATACTGCTGAAAATAAACTGAAATGAGAGGTTCTGATGGACTCTTCTTTCAAAATGGAAAAAGTTTAAGCTGGAGTAAAAAAATCAGTGCTGGAATTTCCTGCTGTTTTTATAAGAAATATCAGGCTTAATCATTTACATACCCTTAATCACGTAGATGTTTATTTTGGCAGCCAATCTTATTGGTTTGCATCTAGAAAGTATCATTTGCAAATGCTTACGTATGGCTTTCTTTAGTACTGATTGTGTCTCTGAAGGCCAGAACTGTATTTTTGTCTATATTGATAGAAATGTCATACTCATTCTACAAGCTTCGTGCTGATTCTTTGTCTCATGTTTCACCACACCAGTATAGTTTCTTGACATCCTTTGGGATTTGCTTTGCTCACTGCATCTTGCTGCTTTCATCAGCTAACAGCTGTAATGCTTAAGCTGGCACTTTGCAAGCTTAGGAGAGAGAATTGGGCATAAGTGGAGACTTTTAGCCTGGAGATGTTTGCCCTCTATGCTACAGCACATTCACTATGTAAAATCTGGGCAGAATGGTGTACAGGCTCAGCCACTTGATATGGTTTGAAGAAGTAACTGCTTTTGCAAAAGCAGAAAGTGCAGGCTACTTGTAGTTAGAGGCTGTCACATTAGGCAGCTGCAGTGTAGACTGTACCACTGTGACTGGTGGAATAATTCAGTGTTTCCTGATGGAAAAGCAGGGTAGGAAAGCACTTAAAGCCTTATGACAGATAATTCTGATGCCTTTTAAAACCTGTTCTCCTAGAGGTAGCACACTTTGAGAAATCTCAGATGTTGATAAACCACTAGTTCCAGCTGTCTCTAACTGGAGCACACTCTTCATCTGAAGATAAGTTGATAGCTCTGGCTCTGAGCCAGTTTTAAAATGTGTCTTAAAGTTGGTCTTAGATGGCTTTATCTTGCCCATTTTCTACAACTTGTGAAACTGCCGTAGTGGTACACATTAATTATTATGAGTTGAAGTTTGTATTTATCAATACATATCCCCACAGATTTTGAGATGTGCTTGCTTTGAAAACTAAGCACAGCAGTTTGTTTTGTTTTGGTTTTTTTTGTTGTTGTTGTTTTTTGGTTTTTTTTTTGCTTGGAACACCTCAGTAAAGAAGCCTAAACCTTGGCAAAAGCTACAAATGCTATTTGTGGAGCAGCTAGTTTTATACCTTGCTGTTGAGGCCTCAACTAGCCTGTACACATGTCTCTGTTTTCCTTCTCCCTAGGAGTTTACATCCTTATTGGAGCTGGTGCACTTATGATGCTGGTTGGTTTCTTGGGATGCTGTGGTGCATTGCAGGAATCTCAGTGTATGCTTGGCCTGGTAAGTATTCAGAGTAGTGTTTAAATTTTTTAGCAGCATGATGAGAAAGGAAGGAAAATATTACTGTGCGTTCAAGTGCAGCAGATGCTGATTCTTTTGCCTCCACAATGTTTAAACTCATGGTCACCTACATAATGTTGAAATGTTAAATACAGTTTCCATTTCTGGCCCTAAATACACATTGTTGTATTTGAACACAGGGTGACTTCAGGAGTTAGTGACATATTCAGACATTGAAGAATCAAGACTCGGAGTATGTGTGAACACAGAACTAAAAGGTTGATAAGAGTAATGCTATTTATTAAACAGTTTGTCCTGAATTCTAAAGGCTGTGCAGTCTTTAATCTTTGAGACCAGAACCACAGTATTTGATCCTAGAAACAACAAGCCTCTACTGTTCATAATCACAGGATGAGCTCTTCCAGTTGACAACTGCTCTGCAAGCCAATTATTGGAGAGCAACCTCATTGTTTTCAGACTGGAGGGGCCAGCAGAGCTTACTGAGTTCATGCATACCTGTACACTTGTAGAACTACTCATCCAAATAACCAGAAGACTTAGTTAATAAAAGACTACTGATATAGCCAGTGAAAGAACAGTTCCCCTTCTGTGTCATGGAAGAAGTTAATTTCATATATTTCTTGCAAAGTGATGCTTCTAGTGCTTTGTTGTGATTCTGAACATCTTTTTAAAGAGCCTTTAAATGGTAGTGTATTTTGGAGCTGGTAGTCATTAAACACAGAGATGACACTTTTATTTCTGTTTTATGGGATACACAACAAAAAAGTGACCACTAGTTCTCTGGGAGTTGGTGGCAAGCTAGGTATTAAGTAATAACTCCTAAAGCAATAGGAGCAACAAACCAGAGAGAATTGGTGTCAGCTGTTGTGATGTGTCTGAGTGACCTGGGCAACTTCAAAGTCTGAGTTAACAGATGATTGGTTTTAATTAACACTGATCAAAAAGGACTTCTGCTTGGAAAATGCTACCAGGCTTTCTGATGCTCCTGGGAATAAGTGCTGACCCAGTGCAGTGTGTCCTTTCCTAGTCTTACCAGTGTTTCAGACCTCCAACTGGAACCTGGTTGAGTGACTGTTCCCAGAAGGCTGGATGCTGGGGACTGGTCAAACTTGCCGTATATGTGAGTGATGCTGTTTTCTCATGCTGTGGTCTTAATTAATAATGTGGTCTTTCTTTTCTAGTTCTTCCTCTTCCTTTTTGTGATTTTTGCCCTTGAAATTGCTGCTGCAATCTGGGGATTTGCAAATAAAGAAAAGGTAGGCTGCTCTTAAAAGTTGGCAGGGTGGTGGGATGCTGGAACAGGTTGCCCAGAGAAGTTAGGGATGCCCCATCATCGGAAGTGTTCAAAGTCAGATCAGACAGGCCTTTGAGCAACCTGATTGAGTGAAAGATGCCTGTGGAACAGGGGGTTGGGCTAGATGGTCATTGAAGGTCCCTTCTGACCCAAACCATTCTGCGATTCTGTAACTGTGCCCACAACAGGTTAGCAGTCTACTGAAATCTATACCAGTACTAGTCAAATCCTGATTGCCCAGAGAATTTGGGGGAGAGGAAGATGCACTCTAGCAAAACAATACAAGCAATTAAACTCTAATATTTAAAAATGAGACTGTAGCAGAGAAGCCAGAATCCAAGATGCTGTTGTATGCTAGAGATGCTCTCTAGGCAGTACCTGGCTGAGCTGTGAATTGAAGCAGGCCATCAGTGAAGCTTTAACATTTCTAGATAAGAGCTGGGTCAGCTATGAGCTGAATGTTTCTGCATCTAAAACATGACTGATCTGGGCTGCCCCCACACAAGCAGTCAAGATGCTATTTTGTTTCAAAGTTAGGTGCTTCCTGATCAGGGTTGCTTTTCTGCTTCTATTATGCAACCTCTGGGGTACAGAAATGAATAGAGAATATTTTTTGTGTAACCAGTGGGCAAAGGCTTGGTTCTCTGTCCTCCTAGAAGCTCAGATTTGGAAGAGAAACTGATCTTATCTGTTTAGGTGTGTCTTTTGAGTATACCAATTAGGCTTGAGGGGTGAGAAATGCTGTCCACCCTCTGTTTCCACACTCTATTTCTACATGTCAAAAGGATGAGTATTGTAGATTTCAGAATTTTTAATGATTGACTCACTCAAAAGTTTTCCATAATTAAGGTAAAACATTAATACACCACAACTCTTTGCTCTCCTGTAGGTTATTGAAGAGTTAAAGGGCTTCTATGTGGAAACCTATGAAAAGAGATCTCAACCAGCTGCCAGAGAGACCCTGAAAGCATTTCAGTTAGCTGTAAGTACTGAAGTACTAAGTTTATACTTAAACTAGACAGTAATGCAGCTTGTTCACACTGTTCTCCATGTCATCCAGTCATCTGTACAAATCTAGAACCTTACTAACTAATACTCCTTTGGTTTCTTCTAGTAACAAATTTCAGAGATCTTTTAGTGTAGTATCAGTGAATTCAGTATGCTTTTTCGTCCCTCCAAGCCTCTGAAATGCAAAGAACTAGTTGTTGTTTTCCTAAACGAACTCAGCAGCAAGCTGGGAAACTAGATCTATGGAACTGAACTAGAGGCACCGTAATATGCATATCTGAATGTCTATGAGGAGTTCATCTTTGTGTCTATACGGAATACAAGCTGTCACCAAAAGTAATATGTGTATACTTAATGAGATCTAGCTCTTTCTGTCAGAATCTTGTCCTTTAATGCAATAAAGGCTTTTTAAAATTAGGTTTATAGCAGTCACATTGACAGGACTTCTCAGCCAATTTGCATAAGGTCTGTAATAAAGCCTAATGTAATCTATTTCTCCTTTTTACCAAATACAGAACAAAAAGGATTATTTAACCTGGTTCTCTTTTCCTGTTTTCTCTTGTAGCTAGACTGCTGTGGTCTAAAAGGAGGTATTGAGGCGCAGTTCATGGACACCTGTCCAAAGAAGACCATGCTTGAGTCATTTTCTACAGTGGTAAAGCATTGCTTAATTCACCAACTGTTCTGCCCAATGAGTAGAACAAGAAATGTTTCTGAATAAATCTTCCAGTCCATGGGAAATTCCCACATCATACCTGCTTAGCAACCTATTTCTATAGTCAGTCAAGTTGTGGAAAATCAACGTACTGTTGCTGTGGAAAGAACAATCAGGGTAAGAAGGAAACCTGAACTTGGACAGGAAATGTGCAGTCTTTGTGTCACCAGACTCACTGGCGTGATGGACAGCAAAGGCCAAAACCTCATGGGGGAAAAAAAAATACTAGTGTTCTATTCTCCTGGCTGCTCCTATTGCCAGAGCACCTTCCTGGTGCTGCACGGGAGCTGTTGACACACCTTCTGGTTAAGGAGAAGTAGAGCATGGGGTGGGAGCAGGTTTGAACTTTCAGCAAGGAAAAGGAGAGGATCATGATGTGTTGGTGGCCTGCTTAAGTGAGTAGGTCACTGAAGCCAATTCTCTGAATCAGATTCCCCTGTTGAAATATTGCTGCAAATGTATGCTACAGATACAGGAGAGGCATCTTGTATAGTTCTTAACTACCACTTTTCCTCTTTCTTACAACTGTCTTGTGCTCTTGCTTTGTACTCCAAGGCAGCCAGTATGAGTCTTCCCATAGAAAATAAGGTTCTTACAATACAGGAGTTCATTTAATTACTGGATTTTTTTTCACATTACTTCCTTTTACTACAGATGATTTTGTGCCTTCAAATAGCTGACCACATGAGACATTTCAGTTTGTGTTTAGACTGTCTCTTTAGTCTTGTCCATATAATCTGCTATGGCTATATGAGAGTAGCTGAGACAGCATGCAGGTTTTATTGTTTGCTTTTATTCTGCTAGGTGTGTTCTAACTTAATCTGTTGGCTTCATCTTCCAGTGTGTTTATGGCCTAGTCCCAACTGTAGAAAAACAGACTGCAAGATTAAAGGAGTGTAATGGTGTGGCTGATCTGTGTGCCTCCAAGAAGCAGTGCTGTATTGATATTCTGATTTAACCGATTAATTCTTGCCAGTATATCCCTTTAATCCCCTTTCCTTCTGGACTGGATAAGGAACAACTAAAGAAATAAGTGGTTTTCAGCAGCTCACTGTAGTCAGCTGCTGGGATAAGTAGGACAGGAGTTAGGATGTGATTTTGACCAGCTACCAGGCTCTTAAAGATTTACACCTCTGTGAAAGCTCCTTGGGTCTTTTCTTGGCTACTGCGTGTCTTTGCTGGGGAAAGGACTATACTTAAATACTTCTTTAGTTGCAATGGGAATTAATTGTCCTGGGAGCTTCAAACTGGTACCTCTATGAATCTTCCTATAGCTTAGCATGCATATGTGTGCAGCTCAAGAAATCCTGTAGTTCCCATGCGCTGTGTGTTCGTAAGGTGTCCACAAAATTAGGATAGCAGTTAGAAATATCAAGAGTGGCTTCAAATGTCTTGAGAAGGGCTGAGCAATTTAAATGGTGACAGCCAGTAGTAACAAGCAAAGTCTGGTACAACTGCTGTTGGTCCTGATCTACCTCATCAACTGCAGGTGTGCTGTAGCTAAGGCACAGTTAAGAGGTTTAGATACTTGAATAGATTTAAACTTCTCCACCACCTTTTGTCTTGGAACATCCCTGTCTCTCTTTAAAAACCTGAAAATAAAGGCCAATTCAAAGCATTTTCCAAGGGTGAGTCTTCATCTCCAGTGCAAGCAGACTTGGTCAAAGGGGCTAGCATCAACCAGCAGACTTCAGCTTAAGCAAGCAAGCAGAAACAAATCTTTTGTATGTATGAAACACTAATGAACCATCTGTTTCTTTTCAGTCATGCCCTGATGCCATTGATGATGTCTTCAATTCCAAATTGAATGTGATTGGAGCAGTTGGCCTTGGCATTGCTGTAATAATGGTGAGTTTCCAGATTATTTAGAGGGTAGCTGTATGGCCAAAGGATACTTAGAGCAGAAGTCTGTTGAACAGTGTCTGGTGTGGCTTTCTACAAGCCCATTCCACTAATGACAAGTACTGGCAGGATCAGGGTGTGTGTTGCAGGGCCTTGAGGCAGTGCAGAGGGTGGAGTGTCTTGGACCTCCCTTCTTCTGCTTTGGATTAGGATCTGCCTCCCTATAGCTTCACCAGTGAGGTTGTATCAGTGGTGCATGTATATATAGGTTGAAGATGTATTGGTCATGTTGTCAGCCCACACTTTAGTCCCTAGTTCTCTCTCAGGGGTCCTTGGTTTTGTTTCCTTTATAACTATTAAAGATCCTGATAGAGAACTGAGGACAGTGCTAGTAAGAAAATTTTTGCTTTTTAGGTTTGACTTCTTGGGGAGTATGACAAGGATGCAAATATGCTGGGATGGTCAAAGATTTATTAGGAGATATGGTGGTGTATAGCTGATCTATTTTGAAATATTGAGGGTGAAGGGGATTCATGAGAATGGACTGAAATTTGGGGGTGGAGGGGCAGGGACACAAAATGCAGAACAAAGTGTTAATATGGCCTCTGGGCCAGGAAGAGCAGCTGTTCTTGTCCTCATGTTGATAGAAGAGTGTGCTTTGGTCCCCTGATTTCTAATGCATTTGCTTTCTTTACAGATTTTCGGCATGATATTCAGTATGGTTCTCTGCTGTGCTATCCGCAAAAACAGAGAAATGGTCTAAGAGCTAAAAACCCAAGACTGCTGCACTATAAACTCTATTGTCATTAACTTCAGCATTCTGAAAGCATTTCTAAAAATTTATATATTTGTTACCTTTTTAATGCTTTATTTGGTACTGATATAGGTTTGCTTTTTATGTTATAGGTTAAAATGATAAAGGTGTATCTGACTCGAGACAAATATTGTATATAAAATATCTGACTTTCTTGAAACTTATGTAATTTGGATGTAATTTATGTTGGAGACAATTTGATACTTAATAAAGAGTAAGATGTATTGTATGTTTGTGGGGGAGAGGAGATTTTACTATGCTTAGTAATCATACTGTTTGATGTATAGCATGGAGCTGAACTTGCATAATGTGCTAAATGTTAAATCACTAGGGCTTTAGTATAAAGCAGGAAATAACTCCTATGCCAATGCCATATTTGAAGGGAATTCCAAGGAATGGGGAAGATGACTGTCAGAGCACATTAGGGAAGGTATTGTCATGCCTCCTTTCCTTGGGGTGTGTGTGTGAACAAAAGCAGTTCTTAATTATATTCCTAAGATGTTACTGCTGTAACACTTTTACTGTCATCTTCCTGCAGGCCAGCAAATGATGACTGTCATACTAGTGATATGCAGGCAGTGGTACTGTGATGCAAACAGGCTGGGGTCTACCCTGGAGCCAGCTGGGCTTTCTTGTGTCAGCCTGTCTGCTGATATAACTCTGTCCCTTGGCATCTGACTTGGCTTCAGTCCCTTGACAAGGCAGATTCCCATAGCATACACTCAGGATTTCTCAGTGGCTGGCTTTGTACTCCACTGGCTTTGGAGAAACAAAGCACAATCTCAAGGACTTACGGTATGTGTGCCAAATCTCAGGTTTCCAAGTGGAAAAAAACAAAAGTTGCATGAGAAGTTGGTGTACAGCTCTGCAGTTGCTGCTTGCAGCAGCACCTAGAGCTGTGCTCTCCTGTTTCAGTTTAAAAATTGGTATGGGAGGGAGCAGAGATATTAGTGTGGAACCCTTAGCCTAAAGAATTACCAGTTTCTCCTGTACTTCTATTTTAAATGGCTTTTTAAGTGTTTTTTCTCTAAAATATTTTCTGGTGGGGGCTGCCTATGGACTTGGATCCTTACCAGCAAGTTGATGTGCTGTACCTGTGTCTGGTCTTCCCTTACAGTAGTATCTCAGCTGTGCTTCTTATCTTTGTCCCATAGGTACAACAACTGTGTCTTAGTAGTCCTTGCTTGTCCCCACCTTTCTGTTGGAAGGAGGTTGGTATTTATTATGAGAAATATCAGAATTGTTGAGGGTCAGACTGTGGCTGTAGCTCTGGACTAATGCATGAATGTATTGCCCACCTTTGTGTTACACATTGTCCCTTGTCTAAAGGGTTATGCAAACCATTCAGCTCTCCTCTATAGCACATTGTACTATTCTGTGTTAATGGAGCCTTCTTAAAAAAAAAAGTGGATTTCAAAAGAAGTCAAATGGTAATCATGCTTTTGCATGTCTTACAGAGACTGGAATGACTCCTGAAATGAGTCAATCTAATTTTCCTCCTTGGGTATATGAGAGAGCCTGGAGGAGAAAAATCTAACGTCATATGGGAATTTGAGACCTACCGTGTCCCTGAGTTTTTGAAGCACTGAGAATTAGCATTTTTGTCAGCTGTGCAACTCTGGGCATGTGACTGAACCTGACACCTAAAAGAGCTGAGGTGAATTGCTGACAGCCGTAATGAAGGTCTGTCTACTGCTGACTTCAGCTGCCCTTGGATTTATTCCTCCATGTTGGTGCACACGTTCAGGTTGCCAACTTCCAACATGGCTGTGGTCCAACACTAGCAGTGCTTGTCAGCATCCAGAAAACTGCAATGGGTTGTAAGTAGGGTGATGAGAACTAACCTGTAGGCCCATGAGATGGGTAGGTGTCTAGGTTGGTGTTTTCAGAGTAATCAGCTTTTCTGGGGTCTTCCAGGTAAATCACCTTTTATCAGAGAAGAAAGCTATTTTTTATTACTTGAAGTATTACTTTCTCTTAGTGAGAACATCAACTACAGATGTAGAGCCTGGTTGCAGTCATCCTGAGATCTGCAAGCTAGCCTGGAATGAATACTTTGCAGTAATGAATAATGATGAGTTATATGATGAGAAGTGTTACTTTACAAGCAGCAGTTGTGACCAAATCTCCTGAAGAATTTGGTTCTAAGCAACGGCAGCCCTAGCAGTCTGTGTTTGTAGCACTGTCAAAGCAGGGACTGATTTCCCATCTTCAAATTAGGTCAGAATTGTCTCAAGAAAGCTGGAGCAGAAGGTGACTTGTAATAGAAGCTCAGGTGTGCAAAAGGGATAATAGA